CAAATTATGGAATTTTCCGGTTACTCACTAGGGATTATTTACTTATCTCGACAGCAAAGGCTGTTTAACCTCTTAAAGAAGAGGGGGAATGACGCTTATGCTGATCAGCTAAGCGATGGTGCCGACTTTCTGGAGTAAGTACAAATACATATTAAGAAAATAACCATGTTGATGTCGGCATGATTTTCAACGTTTATGAAATGAGTAAAAACATGGTAAAAACAGCAGTTATGCTTAGTGACGCTTGTGCTAGCCTATCTATACCACTCTCTGGCGACGCAAACTCACTATGGAGCTAGAGTTTTATATCAAGGGAGTATCTGCAATAGGCCACTTGCACTAAGAGGTCACGTGACCAATGCTTCCTTTAAACAATGAGTTGGAATCTTGCTGATGCCAAAAATTGACAGAGCACATAAAAATTATCTTACACCCGAAATTTGAGGGGAAACGCATTTAAGGGAGATATTTTGTGGCACTTTGATTTTTCAACAAAGTAGTATCATTTGTATTGGCCGCCATGTTGGAGGGCATACTCTTGCCCTCCAACATGGCGGCCAAAAGTACTTTCTGCTTAGATCTTGTTACACATTTGATAGTTACGCTCAGATGTGCTGTAAACGTCCCCACATCAACTTTTCAACATTCTCCTTGAAGTTTAAGAGCAAAATTTGTGTTCAAAGAGAGTTAATTCACAATTTCAAAAATCACATTTTGGTCACGTGACCAACTACGAACTTACTCATTTTAAGAAAATGGTGCAGGTTTGAAAAGCAAAATCACTATTATTTTGTTCAAGACATGACCCACTAATCGTTTTTTGAAGAAAAAAATCATATAACTTTTACTTTCATAAAAACGATGTCACATGACCTCTTAGTGCAAATGGCCTATTATTGAATAAAGCTAACTATTATATTATATGCATAATCAGACAAGGAGGAGGGTGTCAATTCCTCCTACCATCAATACAAAAACGTTTTTTTTTAATTTTTTGATTCCCAGGAATGATTGCCTTATAATATTATCACACTGATAAGTGCTTACCTCGATCGTCGATGGAAAGTTCCCGTCTTCTTCATTAATCACCTGTTTCTCGACAAATTTAGGATATAAACAGATGTTTAGTCTAACAGACGTTCTTCGGTAAAAATGTCACACAAAAACACCGTAAAAACACGACCTGCGATGGAAAACTCCGCCATCTTGTAAGAAACACAATCGCAATGCACTGTGGGAAGACGTTCACTCCTCCTCTGGATAACAATTTTAGTTGTCATCTGTCGGGTTATTTTTTGTTATTTTTAGTCAGTAGTTTAATTGGCTATTTCTTCTTTCCAAAAGTGTGGAAATTTCCTTTATCTCTTTTTCTTAAATTTCTAGGGAAGATTTCCTTCAAGTTCGTGTGTTTTTTGAGAGATTGAATTTCCAGGAAGTGAGGGAACAATTGAGTTATAAGGTAATAACATTAATTTATTTTTGGCTCATTGAGTACCAATTCATTCATAACAACAACCTCCTGCAACATTTGATACATTTTGTGAATATTAATGTACGTCTGATCATAACATCTTTTTCTTTTTAGTTTGATTCTCTAACAACATTTGATGTGATCGGAGACGAGCGTCATTCCCCAATAAAAGCGAATGCATTTTTAGGTTTATTGTTATAAAAATATTTTTAATTATAATAATCCTATTGAGGACTCAACTCACCCGAACGACTCTATATCCCGCCTACTTTTAACCAACATCATCGTAAACTGTAAATAGTTGTTGTAAACTATTAATGCGTTTACGACACACTTGAAACCGAGCCGCTGACTCCCTCGCGGAGGCCTTGGTACATTTCTGGGAGGCTAAAGAGAAAGAAAAAAGAACGCCCGTCGAGGGGGGAGGGGCGTTGGGGGGGAGGTCGACGATTTATCACGGAGAATGCGTCCTGCGCGCTCAAAGTTCACGAACGCTTCTTACCATTTGGAATACCATTTGAACTCTGATTGCGCAGGAAAGAAACCAAGCCACGATACTGTTTTTTCGTTCTACTGGTCTTAATATTGACTTTAATTTCCCTTCATGTTCTTTGTAGGATGTCAACTTGTTGGCAGATATCGGTGGTCAGCTGGGTTTGTGGATTGGTGTTTCGGTGCTCACCTGCTGCGAATTTCTGGAGTTAGCGTTACGTTTGACACAGAATTTGTTTAAGAGATTAGCAGCACACAGGAACAAATTTAAAGTGGGAGGTCTACAAAAGTGAATGCAGCCTCGTTCAGGTTTGCACTCGAACAGCCTACAGAAATACCACTTTGCAAACAACTTAAAGATTACTTAAAGATTTTAATCAACTGTCGAGTTGAGCATGTTAACTGACAAATCATTCCACTCATGCCAATGATTGGACTCTGGCTTGTGCTACTGATGTCAACTCTTGGAGGTGTTTATATGATTCTTATATATAGTACTTCAACCTCGAAATGATGTCATCAGAGCAGTTTTTGAGTTAAAAAATAACCATGATCTGTAGTGTAGTGTTGCATACTGACATGAAGTGCAGTCCTCTTGTAGATACCAATAGAGGAGTATATCAAGTTTTTACTTATTGTATCTTATGAGTTTGTACACGGCGTTAAAGCAGCACAAACTGATAAATGGATTTTTCTGTTTCTACAAAGGAAATGTCGAAAAATAAAAACATCCTGAGCTGCCAGGAATGGTCGTAAAGTAACCATATTTCTTAAATTTACAGTCATCATAGTGCGATGACATTTGATTGTAATTTCATAATCAGGCTATCAATATGCTTTGTGGAAGATGAACTCCTTCTGAAAAATTCGGGTAAGAAAAGTGGTTTTATACTTAACTTATTCTCAATTTACAAGTACTCAGTAGCCAATTAAGTGACTACATAACTATGAAAATTGAATTGCAAGTGATTGTTTACTTTTATCCATGGCCAAGCAATACTAATCTAACAAACCGTTCACGTCTAGCAGCTCTGATCTGTTCGTAGCTCATGGACTTAACTTCCTAGAAAAGTAGTTATGGGTTCTTTTTCCTTCTCGTCCAATCACTTGCTACATAAATCAGTTTTAATAAGTAACACATATTAATATGAAATATTTTACACTCCCAGTTCAAAATGTTTTTATTAATTTTATTTCTTCGTTAATCATATAAATGTCTTTTGAGGGAAGGGACTTCTTTGTACAGACATTTGTCTTTCTGAGTCTTCTTGGCACATACTATTTATTCATTTATTTGTGTTGTTGATTAAAGTTTTGTATCTGTTTCTCTTAATCCTATTTTTTTTTTATGTTTATAATGCATGTAATTCCAGACGGTGGTGGAATAAATGAATTCAATTGAATGTTAACGTACTGCTTATGGTGATAGTCATCTAACTACTGGTAAAAGTAAATCTAAATTAAACCAGGGCACGAATTTTCGAGCGTGACACGGCCCCTCCTCTCTTGTATGATTCTGCGTTGAAGTACTGCGTAATACGGTGAGTAGTTTAGAGTAACTAACAGTACTTTCGCTTATTTTGCAATTGCGTTCCATGCAATTTCAATATTTTCTTAAAAAACGGTAACGGTATGGCCGGCTTTGAACTACGAAATTTCTCCCCGAGTGTTGAAAAATATTTGAGTGAATTATATTTCAACAGGAAGATCAAGAAAAATTTCGTATCTGTAAGCGGCCATTTAATTTTCTATTTATTACATAGACAACAATGAAACACCAAATCAATTCTCGTCAATGTATTTTTTTTGTAGTTGAAAAGGGCTACCTATTAAGTAACTATAGCAACGGCGACCTTTCCGTACGTCTTGAACATCACATGTGTTTTTTTCTCACGTACGGAAGATACTAGAAGGATTATATTTTCACCCGGTAGCTCATCTGGTATTTCATTGGGGCTTATATAATAAAATTCGTTTCCTTTTTTGCGCAAAAAAGAACAACGTGGAACATAATGAATTTAACATTTTGTTCGAGCTTCACAGATCACCCCTTCAGAAAGCCTGCGAAACTGATTGAACTTCTGATTGAACTGAAACCAGTCATTTGTTTTATTTGTTGTTAGAGTCTCTTATTCAATTTTGTTGAAAGAAAAAGTTAACAATCTGCTACACAGTGAATTAATTTCGCCTCTCCAGGAAATTTAGGTAAAGTGTACAATCCTGTAGCTTCCTAGGACTCCTAGCGCTGAAGATGGCGAGATTACGTGCAGCTTACAGATGACGTAAGATTTTATCATTCTGAACATTATGCAATACTCGCACCATAATATACTAAGCCCCGTCCAGACGAATCCGGATATTTTTTGTAAAGAGAGAGAGAGAGAACGTTATGTTACCGCATATTTTTCATACATGAATCGGCTTCTCGTCCATACCAAACCAGTGCTTGTCAATCCGCTCAATATCCGGGGCCCATTCGTGCAAAAAAAATATGCCGTTTCAAAAATATCTGGATTCGTGTGTATAATAATAGTTTCCACAACATTAAGAAATACCCAAATTTAGTAGGATGAGACTGTGAAGCTGCCTTGGCGGTAAAGCCAACAAACAGATTAGAACTAACGCCTACATGTACAGCTACTCACTACTTAGTCCCCGTCCAAACGTATCCAGATATTTTTGAATTCGCAACTTTTTCTTTCCAGATACACGGCTTCCGTTCACATATGTATGGAGAATCTGGCAGACGAGTCCGCAACTTTCTGAATCCGCTCTCCAGAGTAGCAATTTTTTGAATACGCTGTGAATCTGGAATCGTGTGGACGCTAAATCTCGATAGTTTTTGATCGAGCCCAGTTCTTTACAGTGAAAGTTAGAGCATTGATGAAATTTCGCTCACTTAACGACGCATGCTTTGTTACTAGAGGAGTCCTGGGTACTAGAGTGAATCGGGATAAGTGTGGACGGGGTCTCAGTCGCCTGATTTCTGGACAGGCAAACTAGAACCTGAGGGGTGTGGGGTGGTCCATGCATATATCTATAATTGATAGGCACCAAGAAAGTTTACAGTATGATCACCCTCTATAGTGCCATGACCCAGAAGTCTCACTGACACAAGACTGGACTTCTTCATTACAAATACTGCACCCGAGTAGGTGGCTTCTTCGCCTTTCACTATTTTAGAGAGCAATATGTTTCCGTTCGCAAGAATTTCGAACCCTGTTCTGTCTTCATCCGTCTGTAGTAGGTGAAACTGGCAGTAGACGAAGTATCTTCCATCTCGAGGAATTTCAAGAGTGTTGTTTGATGATTTCATCCCTCCGGAAAGATGCGCAGTCGGGCATGAAGAACACCAACGAGAAAATTCTGAGATCAATGAGAAAAAGAACTTTACATTTTTAAACAGTAATGCATGAGAAGATCTCATAATTTCAGCGAAAACGATACCTGCATTTGTTTGATTTCAGGATTCAGGATTAAATTAACAGAATTTAAAAACGCATATTTATTATATGACAAGGATGAAAGGCCAACAATCTTATCTTCCCGATAAATCTGGAAAAAAAATTTGGCAAAAATTAAAGATCATGTAACTTTTACTCACCAAGGCCATCTGAGAAACGAAAGGCGCTGCTGTCGCTTGTTAGATGTCCAGATGGTTTCTCGTCCTTAGGAAAATAGAGTCAGTTAATTTGCATAAAATTTTGTCACTTTTCTCGTGCGGATAATGAGCTCTGACAAGCTCTAATTAATTTCCATACCAAAAAAGTGATTTTTTTCAGTTGAAATGATTTGAACTCAAAAGACTTGTCATACCTTATCAAGGTAATGATCATGTAAGCGAGTGTATGAATGACAATTCGACTTTCTAAGCGCGCTTAAGCTTCTTAATGATGAATTCAGTGCCCCCACCAACATTCCTTTTAAGAAGTTGACTCACTCAGACGATTATATTCAACTCTTTCATAAAAAAAAGCCTTCCTGGCATTGTACAACTTGTAAACCGACGAGCCAGCTACTTTGTGCCAATTTTGTATTAGCCTTGAATCCGTATTAGCCTATTTCATGTACCTCAAGTTGGGTAGCTGAAACGCCAACGTCACCTCGCATTGCGGTATCGTCAGAACACTCCAAAGATCAGTTAAAGGCTTATATCAAATTTCCATCTTTTCTCACTTGCTGTTAAACAATCTATTTGAATAGACTGAATAGCGTTTTGCATAAGGAAGACTGGTCAATGCTCTGAGGTGCGTGCGCTTTCCAGACTCCCAACCATATCTTACGCATGCGCACCGCCTTTTTATCCGCGCGTAATAAAAGAAATCCACATCAGTGAATATAGCATGCATGTCTTAAAAAATTGTGTTGAGCAAAAGACTAAGCCGGGGTATTACCTTTACTCCTGTGTAGCCAGATGAACCAGGGGGGCCAGGGTAACCAGGTTCGCCCTATGAAAAGAGAAATTGATATTTACTATGGAGAATATAAGATTGTTATGTCTCGTTAACTATGTGCAAGCGTTAAACCAGAGAATGTTGAAAAAGTTTTATTAGCCTGTAGTGTTGGGAGCAGTTAAGACAGGACGCTAAAGATAAAGAACGAAAATCAGGCAAGGCATCATTCGCATGGCGTATTATTTCCTCTACAACACTTCGATTCAAACTTCTGTTGTTAAGCTTGGACATTAGTCATGAAATAGTTTTTAAATGCGTGGCGTTACCTTCAGGAACATGAGAGAAGTGAGAGAAAAAGTCACTTATGACTTCAGTTCAGGTAACTAATCGGATGACGGTCTCACGCAACTTTCGCCTTTCGAGGGAGACTGACAAATAGTCATACAAGTCAAGTTTAGGGACCGCAAAGCCGTTTGGGCTATGGTGGAAGGGGTAAGGGCCAGCCGAGACCGCTATTAAGGGCTTACCAGGAGAATTACTTCAGACTATCCCTTGAGTCTTCCCACTTCCAAAGGGTAGTCAGCTCCCCCCAATGTTCCGCCGCTCCTTTTGCTATAAGGGACTTCAAGATCAAACGACGTGACCGCAACGAGAACGTCGCTTAAAAAGCGAATTTTCGTTCTTTCAGTCTTTATCGCGATTATTCCTACTTACTTACTTTGTCAAATGTACGCGAACCTTCCTGAATTTGAATTCCAAGGGACCATATTCAAGTTCAGAAAGCGAAATAAAATTTCGACGTTGCTTTTTTACGTTCATAAAATAGGAAATTAGGCATTTTCACGTCGTAGTCGTGCAAAAACGGCAAAGAAGTTGTTTTGCTTATTAAACCTATTGTTTTTTAGACGTTCTTGTAGCCGCAGCGTTGTTGAATCTTTAAGTTCCTACTTACTATGCCGCGCACCTCATTAAGTAAGAATCAAAAAAACAGTTTTTTTTACCCTAAGTCCATCTCTCCCATCCCTTCCATCCTTTCCATCTTTTCCATCTCGGCCGTCCTTTCCTTTTAGAAGCGGAGCAATTTTCCGAATCAAGTCTTCAAGGCCTAAAGAGTTCAACTCGAAGAGTTTTGCGTCATCAGATTTTTTAGCCATAGTAATAACATCCTGTTAAGGAAAATTGGGTTAGCTTGGATGGTTGATGGTCCTTGATCTTACATTATGGCTTTTCCCTAGTAAATTCACTCATGCTCACACAGTATTGATAGGTCTTCTGGGTGTAAGCATCAGTCACATGATCAATAAAGTCATACTTAGTATTCATTCATCTTGCATTGGTTCAGCAGCGAATAAGACGTACCTTTATTCCCTTTAACTTTGTTCACCCAACTTTTTCCCATCACATATCCCGGTGGCCAAAAAGCGTTTCGTTTTCTGTTCACCCACTTTTACCGTGCCATGACACTCCACAATAACGGAGCTAAATCAAAATTTGGCACAGTAGCAGTTCTTTGCATAAAATACTGACTAAGTAAGTTCTACTATGAGTGACCATGAACTATTAAATTAAAAAAAAAAATTGTATTTAAATCTTTGCCTTTCATTTCCTATAAGAGAACTGTACGCTTATGCGCTCCGGAAAACTACCTTTTCTCGGCCACGGAAGCAATTCGAAAATCTTACTCACGCTATGACAATGAACTAATATTTTTTCCTATTCCATCTCCCGCTATTTCCTTTGATATGAAGTGCAGAGTTTTCCAACAAATCTGTCCTAATTAATCTACAATCAGGCAGTCATCGAACATCTTCAGCTTTAATTTGGTACCACCTCAGGTTCCTAGAATTAAGTGTCCTATATAAACTGCATGCGCGAGTTAGGAAATTTCTAATACTAGTGCGGAGAACAAATAAAACAGTGGGAGTATGAAAAAAAAACTTCTAGAATAATTGTTCATTAAAACTAATTTTAACTGTCTTACATTTTTATGTAAGTCCTTCTTAGATCTTGTGATGACTTTTGGTTCATTTTGAAAGCCCGACAATATTTCCTGGAGACGAAGGTCATTTTTATCGGCCTCGTAGTTTTTTAAACTGTCCAAGTCTTCAGAAATCTGACGCTTGTCAATAATATGCTCTCTTTCGCCGTTAAATTCGCTAGGAGGGAATCCCTCAACAGCTCGTCTGTTTGCCAAGTTGGCAATTTTGTCGCGCTTTGTTCTATCCATATGGTCGTCATATGCAACATCAACACTTCGCCGTCTTCGAACGAGGTTGAGAGCTTCGTGAATCAGGGCAGATGGGTTTGCCGCAAGTTCTCTCGCCTTGTGTTTTGTTAGGCCTGGAGCAAAGGAACTTGCTTTGTCATGAACTTTAACTTTTAGGCATCTTACAATAGACACTGTAATGATGATTATCATGGATAACAAGAGAAAGTTTCTTGTAAATCCCATCGTCGATTATGCTTGAAGTTCAACCTCACTGCAAAGGTGAAGAAAAAGGTTTGGCGTCAAATTAAGTAACGCTTCGCAACAATTTATTGAACAATCAAGGTTCACAGAAATGCATCTAACGCATATTGACAGGTACATTGACAAACAGTTATTGGTCGGGACACATTCAAACAAATGAACAAACGCAAAACAACGGTAATGAAACAACTTACTTTGCATTGATGTTAAAACTATAACTACATTAATTTTAACAGTGAGAGGATTTCCAAGAGACGGTGGATTTATGTGTGTAAATAAAATAGAGGTAACATATGATCAAGGCCGCGCGAAAAAGTAAATGTTCAGCGAAAAGATCGGCGAAGTTCAACCTCAATTTTACTTACGCTCGCAAAATTGGCCCGCATACACATGTACAAATTGCGCGGCAGTGGGAATCCACCTTAAGGCTAATTCTGTCTACTACCTTACCCAGTCATAGTATAGCAACACTCCGTTCTCGTTTATCCTACGCTTGGATAAGGAAAGACAATAAAAGGCATGGCAGTAGATGTAAACAAAATGAACGTTCACGGCAATTAGGTAGAGGGTTAGGCGCGCTAAACACAACACGCCCTTAAACCAGTTCGTCTGCAGGTGATAACATAATCATGTTAAATTAGAAGCATGTTAGCCTCGTTTGTTACCAGCAAAAACCTTAAATTGTTCTTTCCAAGAAATGATTGTCCAATTTCCAAACAAACTCTATTTGTTTTCTTTCAATGAGCAAAATCATCTTCGATTATGACCATTCAGAAATTTAATTTGTAAAACGGTCGGTTGAGTCAAGAGCCATTCTTTATTTAAGCAGGTACGCAGTTGCATTATCAAAATAAACGAATAATGGTGTGTCGATGATTAAAATGATTCTTCTAAATACAGAAGAAAGAGTCTTTATACTTTATTTTACTTGTCTATTGAATAATATGTTCATGATTAAGGATTAGATTAAAGTAAACTATAATATTGCCAGGCGGTTGTATTTTGAGCGCCACTAACTAAAGATGATGATTTTTAAAGCGATACAAAGAACTATCAAAATGTAGAGTAGTTGGAAGCTACAGTGCAAAATCTATCGTTGTATAGTAATGGTTAATTAGAAGGCCTCATAAAAAGCTTGATTTTTGAGGGGAGGAGGAATGTCGCTTGTGATTATGATTCTACTAAAAACGACCTCCTTCATCAACGGAACGCAGCGGGTGTCCAAATTCAAACTTCAGAAAACAATGAAGACTTTAAAAAAAAATTGTACGCGTTGTTTTGAAATTTCATCACCGTTATTCATTTGTGGGATTACAAAAAAGGGGTTTGTTTTTTAACTTCTTATTTTGAGATTGGAATCTGCTTCCCCTTCTCTTTATCAAATTAACACTTCTGGTAATCTCTTTACGACTTGTCAGAACAGGTGCTTAGCTGATTTAACATAATTAACCACTTTTCTCTCTGTTTTGTAATTTCAATAGCCACATTGTACCTTAAACTTGCTTCAACCTACCTGGGTATCTTGGCTTGAACGTAACCCTTTTTTGTGCATTTCTTTGTCTTTCAATTGAAGCTTGCTTGTTCCTGCCAATATGACAGTTTACGTCCCTGAACATAAGTCGAAGTTTACTCAAGCATTACTTATTCTTACACCGTAAAACAGGTGGCTGAAATCTCGGTCAGTAAGTTTGACCCAATTAAAAAAAAGAGAGAGAGAGAGAGCGAGAGAAAGTTCCAAAAAACACACCCACTCCTCGCACGAGGTAAAAGACTAACACGACATTAAAAAAGGCCACACCTTCCGGACAAATCAATCTTTCCATTCTTTAAAAGACTAGAATAAACTTTTGACAAGTGAAAGACGCAATTAAAGAGATTTCTAACTGTCACGCGCGAATAAGCAAACAAAAAATGCCCATTTTGTTTAGAATCAATAGCAGTTAAAAAAGGAGAATGAAGACCTGATGAAGCGTGAGAGTTTTAAATTTTATTTTTCACGGCAGATAAAGAATTACCAATTACAATGTTGTTTGTTTTATGTTTGCATTTCAATGAAAAGAAAAACAGAATTCGTCTTATATTGACTTAACTTTGATACGCATGCAAACTCTTATAGCTGTCCTCACGAAAACGACCTCTATCCATTTACGTACTCTGATACACTCTGGAATGTTTTCGAAAAAATCTGTTACCATCGATATCGTTCACAGCTAAGGAAGTCGTAAGAGCATACGCTTGTATGCACCTTTAACGAACACATAAAAAGGCACCCGACTATCACTGGAAATAGGCTCCTCACATTCACTTTTCTCAAATAGTTTTTAATTAGCAAATAGTTTTGGCGGGAAAACGTAATAGCCGTCGTCACTCTACTACGAGATTTTAGCGAAAATAGTGCCGTGGTGGCGGGAATACTTATCAAATTTTAGAAGCTTAATCATTTTGCAGCCGGGAAAGGGCTAAACCTTCTCCAAAAAGATTATAACCGCACTAATTTTTGATGTGAAAAATAGTACAATGAAGCTTTCCGGTTGGAATATTTTTCTAGAATAAGCGGAAAAACTTTAAGTTAAATCTCGTACTCGTAGTTGTGCTTGTCCTCAGATCTGAAGCTGTCTATTAACCCTTTAAGTCCCACTAGTGACCAACAGCAATTTTCTCCTAACAATGTCCATACATTTTCAAGAGATAAGGTTGTGAGAATATAAAAAGTGATCACGAAAGAGAAAATGCCTTGATGTTTTATCAAATTCTGTCAACTAATTCTTAAAGGAAATGTATGGAGATCAGTTTGGAGAATTTGTATGTGGATACTGGGGCTTAAAGGGTCAAGAAAATGAACTAGATATTCCCTTTAATCACTTGTCGCGTAGATTACTATTTGGTGGTAAAAATGTTAGTACATAGCTTTAAAAACTTCGAAGATTAAAAACAAACTTTTCCCAACAAAATCCGGGAATTTCGGGACCAGACTTTCCGGGAAGGATCCGCCTATAGTCTGCTCTCTGGAGACCAAGATATCTTGGCAGCTTACTTACGGGGTTATCTTCAATATTCACTAGGTCATATTGCATCGTTCACATTAATCGTAGTATATGTAACCTAGCCTCTTCACAAATTTTTCTCGTGCCCATGCCCTGGTTGAGTTGTTGAGCTCACATTTCTTCAGGTGTTTTCCAGAGTTCTCAATATTGAACGAGAGGCATCGTGTAATAGCCAAACACCTTTGAAAGCAGTCGGTGATGTCTGCAACATAATGCTCCTCTAATGAGCAGTTGGCCAAAGCATGGTTCACGTTTCCAAGGGAAGCTGACATGTGATTTCTCGGATGACTCTGAAGAGGAACTGTATATTTAAAGATTTTCAACAAAAATTGGCATGCTTTCGAAGTCATCGAAATTGACAGCAACAACGGTGGGTATTAGGCGTGGCCCACTATGTTGAACTCATGGGCCTACTGAAAAAATTACGTTTTCTTTAGTAATTTTCAAGCACTCGACTGAAATGCTCTATGAAAGAGTAATCTTAATTAACTGACTTATATGCTGTGCATCTTTGGGAAAAAAATGCGAATCAATCAATTAAAAGAAAGAGTTCTGTTAACCAAGAACTGAGAAATGAACCTTTACCATGTTTACCATGGCAACCATACCGCGCCCCTTACTCATTCGTCAACCAATGATCCTGCGTTAAAGTATAAGCTTAACAAACAACAGACGTCTCTAATTTTCGAACCCCACCCCACCCCCCAAGAAACGCTGAATATTCGGTATCTAAGGTATCAGATTCAGATTGAATCTAATGTTTTACACCGTTATCTCAAGCATTAAAGATTAGGCCCTCTCAATCTAGGGCTATTTTGAAAAACCTAGTTTTAGGATTTTCTGCCGTTATTATGGGATTGGTCATTTTGAGATCGCACTTGAGTCTGAGTCCCCATAGTGTCGCGTTGCACTATGGGACCGTTTTAGGGGACGAATTTAGGCCCAGCTTCCTGAGCAACCTTTTAGCAGCTAATAAAAGACGCGCCATGTCCCCCAAAAATCTTCCCATGGTTCAACTGGACTCCAACTGACCCAGTCTTCCGTGCGACTTCAAAAAGGTCAGTATTTTACAAAAAGTACATAGTTTACCTCTTTCGCATACGAACGGTCTTTTAACGAAACAAGGGATATCGTTCCACTTTCCATTATTGACATAGATCTCCACGCAATGTTCTCTTCCGTTGAAATTATTCGGCTCCCCATAATTCCAGTTTTTGTATCCAGGCTTAGAACCGTCCGTCCAATAAAAAGAACCATTTTTCAGGCTGAGTCCCATCCATGCACTTCCAGAGTTTAAAGGCTTTACAAATGTGAAGTAAATATATGTCAGCTCCTTTTTGTCAGTAACCTTTACAAGCTGTGAGCCAGCTGACTTACAGTGCTCAAAGCCCTGCCTCCAGGTCTTCCCTGAAGTTATCATTTTGTAGCATGAGTCACGGAAAGGCTTCCAGCCAATTCCACAAGCTTCGGAATCTGTTCAAAGCAAATAATTGGTCGAGAGAAACGCATCCAGCACTGAACTCTTGGAGAGTGAAAGGAATAGACCTATTCGGCTAACTCAGTGTTGTACCCAATTCAAATATCCCGGGGTTAATATTCGTTGTGTTTTGTATTTGCATTATAATGTGGCATTCACATTTAAATGATATGGAAATTCCAGAAACAAAACGTTTTATTCCCAAAGGGTTTGAATTGGGTACAGCATTGAGCTAGCCGAATAGCTCTATGTTCGCTATTTGGGCGATTACAGTAATTGGACGTGTTTCTTATATATTTAAAGTTGGATTATTAAAACGCCATGGTCAGGGTCAAGGATTTAAGTTTCATAAGATCTGTAAAATCGTTTCTGAGTGTGATTCTATGAACTACAAGCCTACAAACATTAAATGTACTAAAGATTATGAATTAATATAAATTGTTACCAAGATTTTGTTAACAATGTTTACACAGTAAGGAAACCTAAATGTACGGATATAATATATACAAAAAAAAAGAAAGTAGACGGAATTTCAATTTTTTTCTGCTGTCCATAGTCTCGGATCACCGTATATCAGATGTATAAATAGTCTTTAAATTTTCGAATTCTGTCAGTTCTCTTTTCTTTTCCGAGAGTAACTTTCAAGTGAATTTTCCTTTAACCCACCATTCTTGACAGTTGTGCTTGTAACAAGTATACTGAAACGAAAGGCTAGAGGCCATGCAATGCATTTCCCACATTACAATTTCGAAAAGTGTCAGGTCCTTCAGGGTACGGACCAACTTTCTAATCAAATCTAACAAAGTATTATTTTGGTGGGTTAAAAAGGGTCAAATCTATTAACTGGATACAATTATCACTTACCTAACTGATCTGAACATCCAACTGCAAATAATAGTTTGAAACACGTAAGAGATGAAACAAAAGCCAAGTGTACTTTCACAAAATACATGATCTGGATTTGGTGTTTAATAGAGTAATTCGGCTGGCTATATGTAAATGGTGAACTGGAGAAAAAACCTTGTCATTTTGCACCCATAGCTTGGTCAACAATCTGTAAATTGTTTGCCCTAGAGTCTTTTAGCATAATTGCGCAAAAATACGTCTTAAAAAGAATTTAATTTCTGTAAATTTTCACCTATTTGTTACGAGGAACTAAAAACTGATCGCAATTAGAATATCAGTAGGATATGACTATACTTGATAGTTTGCTATATACGTGGACCTAGCGCGCCTCATAGCTCAAAAATTGATTTTCTGTTTGGTACTTGCAGCTTTATTGAATAATAGCAATGCAGTGAACATTTTGATTAATTTTTAACATATTTCAGTAATTATTATTTTCATTTTTGTTTAAATTTAAATTCTATCGTATTATTCCTCTTTTACCGTCTTTTGGCACTATTTTGGGAGTTTTCATGTTTAATTCTTATTATATTTTAGTAATTATTATTTTCATTTTTGTTTAAATTTAAATTCTATCGATTTATTCCTCTTGTACTGTCTTTTGGCACTATTTTGGGAGTTTTCCTATTTTTTTTCGGCATAATGTAATTCAGTATTATTACACTGAGTAATTACTTCTGTGTTTACACAGAAACAAAACCTACCGAGCTGTCTAAAAGAGCAATCTAAAATAGCTAATGGCTTAAAATAACAAGCATTCATGGCTGTAGTTTGAAAAAAAATTCATGAAACATGGCAACATTGCAAATTATTCCAATCAGTAATCAGTACGATCGTACTTCGCATAGGGCAAGAGTTCAAAATAACCTTTAACTGATCAGGAACAACTGAAGGAAAGCAAGCATTTACCGGGGGGCACTTAATAATACTTATACATATACGAAAATAAAAGGTTGATATACAAATAAAGAAAAGAAAAGAAAAAAAACGAAATTAAAACTTTGATTTACATTGAGCTAATAAATACTATGACGTAGGGTTAGAACTTTGAAAACGTAAATGCATAGATCGGCAGTTACTGTAACCGGCTAAAACTATGGATAAACAATTAGGGTCGCTTTTTATAGGCCTCCTAAATCACTGAGCCAAAAAAAAAAAAGAAAAGAAAGGAAAGAAAGAAAACTGGATTGAATAGAAATTAGGTAACTCAGAAATGAAAAGAGGGCAAGGCTGACCAAAAAATAGCTAGAATGGGTATTGATAATAGATTACGTTCTACTTATAGTAAAGGTGGAAAACAGCGGCCTGCTCCCCCTTGCAAGTTTTTCTGAAAGTGTGACCTGTTATATGCATAGGCTCATTCCCGGAACAGCGGCTGGGAATGATTATTGATTCTAATTTATATGATAATGACTTTATTAAACTTTTTAGCTGGTCATGTAGTTTTTTCATGCACCACTAGTCGTAACCACCTGCAAGATGATATACACTGTCGGTAAAGACCTCAGTAGACCCTTTGCAGCTAGTTGGTCACGTGGTACAAATGACCGCCATACTGGAGAAGAAGAGACGCACTAAGAGAAGGCAAAGAAAGAACATTACCATGATATGAGCTCTTCATTTGGCTCGTGCTAGTACGCCGGGTCAACTTTATTCCTGAAACTGCAATCTAGGAATAACTTTACAGTTTTTATCCGTTTTTCTTATCTTTTTTTTACATCACTAGTTTAACTTTAAAATTTGCTGTCAATCATGTGAAGTCATTTTCCCGCCAAAAACCGTTGAAATCGAAAACCAAAAAACATACGATTATTTGGAATACAAATTTCTGACTACCGGCCTGCAAAGTTTAAATTCAAACGGACAAAAACTGTAACTGGCAGTTTCAGGCGTAAAGGTGCCCCGGCGTGCAGTGGGTCCTTTGCCCTCCGGTGTGGTGGTTTTGTACCACTTGAATGACCACCTGCAAATGGCCTTTTAGGAACTACCTCAGTTACTCCATATAAGGGGAATAATTATTTATTCAAAATATTTCACCGTTTCTGATTGGCTCAAAGCTCCCGGCGAATTCTTCATAACTGGCGTTGACCAATTTTGGAAGATGCGAGCAATATACTATCAATTCGATGGTTTTGTCTTGGAGACGAGGTTGATCGATGGTGATCGATGGTGTATTGATTTGGGGACGACATTGGATGGGCAATAAATAGACCATCCATCAGCGTCGTTTCCAGACGCGGCGACCCAGCCATTTATTCACGAGTGTACCAAAAACGGCGTTGACTGTTATCCAAAGACGAAATAGCTAAATTTCTGACTAAAACTGAACGGAATGAAAGCAAGAATACGCAAAACACATTGCTCGATGTATGTTTTCTACTTTTCTAGGAGTATCTGCAAGAAAAAAAACCTGTGTTTATATCCTGAAAATGTGCCAAAAAAAGTAGGCCAAATTTTTTGAAGGAAGTCTACCAGGAGTTAAGCTTGTTAGAGTTAAGTGCTTTAAAATAATTTAAATGAATAATAAAACACATCCTACTCAGCCTCAATCAATAATTGCTAAACTTGTCTAATAATTCATCTCATTTTTCGGCACTTCTGTAGACCTTACTGGTTTAATAACGGGCTAGAGTAATTAATGAGATAAGAAAATTGAACCTAAAATGATTGTCAATTCTTATGAATCCCTAAGAACGTCTGTATTAAAGGCTTCATTCTAAAAACCTTTGGTATGGCAAAATATAGATAGAACGATTTCCTGCTTTTAAGAGTTTTGAGTTTTTCTTCCCATAAGACTGATTCAGAACTATCTCAACGAACAGTCAGCCAGATACAGTCAGACCCGTATACGTATTTTACATTTGCTCGCCGAACCGTCAGCGGTGCGAGACAATACTTGATGACCTTGTAACACCCCACCTCTCTGAAAAGCCTATCTTTTTGGTTGCCTGGACCAACTTTAGGGGCATACTTGGTGTAAAAACGTGTGAAGTTTTTCTTTGCTTTCTAGCTATTATGTTCCTTGGCTCTATTGTGTTATATTATCACTTGACTTTTCAGTGGTTTTACGTGAATAGTGAGTTTCATAGGTTTTTACACCTGGTATGATCCCAACTTTATTATCGCCAAGCTTTCATGGCCTTCAAACGCATGACCGCTCAGTCGACTACTTTCCATCCTTTCACCTTATATTCACCCTCCCTTTCAACTCTTTCAAATACCTCCCCTACAAAATAATTATTTCAAACCAGTCACCCCGCCCACAAGAAAAAAGAAACAACAAGAATAGCAAATGTGACTTGTTTCTCACGGAATAACAGAAAATTTTTTTAAACTCTTTTATCATTGATATGCATAAAAGTTGAAAGGAAAACTAAAAACTTAAAACTGCCCCTTGCGATTTATGTCATAATGTATCATCTTTTGCAAAAATATGCAAAGACCAAAGAATCTGGAGAACTAGTTTAAAAGAATTGTATTTATAGAATTCATTTCATATTCCTCAATTTACTTTTCCGTGCTCTCTTTTCCTTTCGATTTTCGCTTTTTCCGACTGATTGTCTGGAACAGACTAGGCTAACTTCTATTAAGCGGTCATCTTTATTAAGAATGATCGTTGTCATCTTTTCCTACGTCGGCATTGAGTTATTTCACTGACCGTGGCTCGGGACGGCCACTTTGTTAACAAGACAGTACCAATTCGATCAGTGAACATATGCTCTGCTAGTGCATGATGAGTATAGCTTGGTATGATCGGTAATGTCTCTTCTTTTAAAACAAAATGAGGTACAACACGTTATTTTCATTTTTTTATGGATACTTCTTGTCACCATTTTAATTTTTTAATTATTAATTTTAGGTTTGTTAAACATTCGAACCTTTTTTGAACGGTCAGCGCCGACCGTTTAATTAGTTATAATACAACATTCAGATTGTAAATCATTTATTTATAACATCTATTAAAACATAATAAGGAAAAGCTGACATTGTATTTGAGGGTACTTACTTTTTTGCAAATTATTTTTTTAGAAACAACTTATTACGTTATCCTTTTCATGATAGCTAAGAGCGACTGTATTTGACTTGGCCTTATTAAAATTCTGCCTCTTATCGAGTAGAGGGCAAAATAGAAGGTTGTTCTATTGCATTTTTAATTTCCCCCTAATAATTAAACTGGACGGTCCTTAGTTCTACTTTTATTGAGGTAATTGCATCATGCTTTGAGTGGTTCGAAAACGGTGGTAATAGCAATTCCATATTTCACTAAATGTGAATGTGGGTTGGGGAGAGTTGTTAAGAGCTCTCATTTTTGACATAAAAAATTGCCCCACGTTTCAAAAGACTAGCTGACACTGGTTATCAAGCAAAAGCTGTTTCAGACTGTTGATCAGTTTAATCAAATAATTTATTTTCATCATCGCAATAACTTTTTTGTATAATAACGTTTGCGATTAATAACACATTTATTTGCGTTTAATTGTGAATAGCTCATTCAAATACTACTAAAGGCAAAATCTTAAAAGGATTGACACATGCAACCGACATTCACTACTGATAACCCAGTGGCAGGACAAGGCGACACACACTGTCTCTAGAGCTGGCTGATTCGTGGAAAAAAATAGGATTCAGACGATTGCGCTAGGGCTCAATTCTTGTAAGTCACTGATTACAGAAATACGAGTCATTCTTACTAATCACAAATGGATATTTTTGCTGTTTTAGAGTTCTTTTTCAATACAAATGAAAGAAGAAAAATAATGCTTCTTATTGCACACTACGGTAAAAATGTTGAAAAGGAGTGAAGGGCTCAAGATCGAAAACAAATCTGAGGCAACCTGAAACATGCTAAAAGAATATGGAATTTTAACCTCTTTTTTTTCGCCGGGTTCAATAAAAATAGAATAATGAAACTAAATTAAGAGTTATAAAAGTTATAACATAAATCTTAAACCATGTCAAAATACGTAAAGAGATCTCCAGTTTAATGTCAAGTAGTATTAGAACTTTGCGAGCACATATAAGATTATCGTGTAAGTCTTGGATGAGGACAAGCCGGATTCATTCACCTACTAACCATGGTAACAACCTTCAAGAGTGGCTACAAATTAACTCTTACTAGAAAAAAGCCATCACCTTGTACTATACTAGTCTGCAGACGTGAAGTCAGGTTCTTGGTAGGGATAGGTTATATTATATCTGAGATACCATTGGCAACTATAGTTAAGTACTTTCTGTATATTTAACCGGCAGGTTTGTTATCGCATCCTATTTGCATGCAATTTTTTAATTTTGGTTTTCGGTTTTAAATTCAAAGTTGAATTAAAATTCTTGCTTGAAATGCAATCGCTTTTAAATGAAATTTGCTTATTATGCTCCTTGCAAGATTTTCATGCAGTTTCTATTTTTGCTACTACAGCTAGCACCGCGTGCACGTTCTAGGCAGATTTTGACAATTATGCGCGGTTTGCAAGTTCTTGGCTGACATGGCTACCTTAAGAAAAAAATGCCCAATAATGAATTGGTTTCTTTCTTTCATGAATTAGCCTGTGGCTCGTGCTTTATAGCCTTCTCTTTGTCCTACCTACCTACCTACTACAAGAGCACCTGTTTACAGGCTACTTAACAAACGAGAAGCAAACTGGAGCCGAAATGCGCCCCGCAATTGTTACTGGGATAGTTATTGCGGGACGCGCCGGTCATCTATTGACCAATTTTTTCCCCTGTCCCTAATAACAAACCCAGAAGTCTTTGCGACAGTTAACTAGCCCCACTTTTCTTCTCGTATCTAAAGTGGAGAATAGCAATTAATCTGAAGCCTAAAAGTATTGGTTTTGACAGGTTGAAAAAACTGGTGATTCATGATGTTAGGATTCCTGGCCTGTGTTTGGATTTCGTCTATTCTCTGTGGACACGTTAACGGATACCTTACTGAACTTGGAGGTAGGTTCTACAGAGGCTCCACTCCTTCATTTTAATGCTCAAAACAAAATGATAAAATAGCTAATCAAACACGTCTATCGAACACTAAGTAATCTTGAGGATATCGGCAACATTGCATGGTCACTTTCCTAATTGTTTATCTAAGGAAATGAATCAAATCAACTTGGTGCGATCAATAAATCATGCTAATGCACGTATTAAATCTTGTCTGCGGCCTACAAAAAACTCATTTCGTCACTTATTTTAGATTAACCTTAAAAATAAATCTAAGAACATCTTTGTATTGATTATATATGCATGCTTACCTTACCCTCGTCTCTCCATCTGGTTCACCCTCCTGAGCTAGCATTTGTGGCCACTTGCCAAATGATTAATTGAAGTACAAAGCCTGTACCTAAATATTTTCTGTTAAATAAGCGCTGAAATTCTTATTTTGCTAAGAATCATTGCACTTACCTCATGGTCTAAAGACAGGCATCTTTTCCGACTCTCGAGGCTTCGACAGGCTCAGCTATTTTCAGCAAGCGGAAATTGCTCGGGCTGATACTTCAAACTTCGCTTCATTACAATCATCATTACATGTTTACAAACTGAACGTTATTGATTGTGCGATGGCTTTGTTTTTTCATATCTTTTCTTCTTTTTTTCATCAGATTTTGCGTTTTACTTTCCGACCAAAGGCGTCAACGACTATGTGAACATCTGGGGCATGCCTAGTTTGAAGCAGTTCACGCTTTGTTTCTGGATGAAGTCAAGTGCTGGTAATGATGGAACAGTTCTGAGTTACGCTGTACCAGGACAACACAATGAATTGCTCTTCTTTGATCATACGAACATTAATATGTACATCGGTAGACAGGGCAGGTTTGTCATGCTTTTAATCAACCTTTAATTGTTAATAAATGAGGGGTATCTTGCCTATCCCTTCAACTGATCAAAATAGAGTATTTTGTCTAACTGGAGTATGTCATACGTAGACCTATTTTCATGAACGGGCAGACACAAGCTAAATCTGATAAAACTTGTTCAACCATAACAGTACGAGTCCTTGGGGATAAAGTACAGTGATATAAAGATTGCAGTGGACTAAAAGACTCGTACCCAGACGCTATTTATGTGTTTTGGGGGTGAAAGAAGATTGGGGGTTAGGTTGAGGCGCGCGGGGTGTCATGTCCCTTCCCATGAGACCCCGCATGCGCCTCAACCTAACCCCCAATCTTCTCTCACCCCAAAAAGACATAAATAGCGACTGGGTACGAGTCTGGTGGACTAGCTACATTTTGTTGAGGGGGAGAGGGGGAGGGGGGGAGTGTGGAGAGGAGACTAGTTGAATGGGGAATTTTGGTTGACAGGCTGAACTGAATTCAACACTATTTTTAGACTACACACTATTTTCACTAGTGATACCCTCCTGTTATGTAACCATTGCTCTACTAGGCCAGGAGGGTCTGCACGAGAAATACATCATTTCATAGGCATGATACTTGATTTTGTAAACGGCCATATCGATATTTCACCTGATCGTGAGGCATTTATGTTGCTATTTGTTTCATTAGATTTTATTACATTTTATCTATTATCACAGGCCTCTAGGGATATCATCAGCAAATGATGGCAAGTGGCATCACATCTGTGCCTCCTGGAGGAGCAGTGACGGGGCGTGGCAAGGCTACAAAGATGGAACGCTGACAAAGAGCGGTACAGGCTTCAGGAAAGGATACACTATCAAGGGGGGAGGATCGTTAACCCTTGGGCAGGAGCAAGATGCAGTGGGATCTCGGTTTGATTCCAATCAGGCCTTCATTGGAACCCTGTCAAACCTCAATCTGTGGAGCCTTATTCTACCGGTTGAAAAGATGAAAGATTTGTCCAAATCGTGCAAGCAAGATTGGGGAGGAGACGGTGATGTATACAAGTGGATTGATTTCCTCTACGGAATAAGAGGAGGAACCAGGATTGTAATGCCTTCTCCCTGTCCACGATAAACGGGTCACAACACGTCACTGTAGGCCTTCTGCACCCCTCATGTGATAGCATGCAGTTCGTGTTATTCGTAGTATAATACTGACTGAAAACTTGTCAGAGTAACTTAGTTGTTGATAGTGTTATAAGTCTGAAAAAAAAAGAAAGAATAAAGACTTTATAGCTTGTTCAGCGAGAATTGTTTGGTTGTGTCGTACTCCTCACTTCTTGTTTTACTTATCACATCTTTGCTGGGTAGCCGTACAATTTAACGGCACATTGTTTGTGTTGATTTTCCATTTATTTCCGTGCTACCTTTGCGACCTATATCTTGCTTCTGTCGATATCCATTTATACGTTTAATCCGAGGTTGCGTAAGTTTTTGAGGCAGTTTAATTGAATCCTTCTCGTAACTAGAAATACCTGTACGCAGAACCTCGCGAAGTCCTTGTCCTCTGTCTCTTGTTAACGGCTTTTTCTTCGCAGGGCAAAGCGATATTCTCTCTGCTCCACTCGGGTCTCTTGTTGACGTCTTCCTCTTAGCTGTTCACTCTGAATTTCAAGTCGGAGTTCTCGCTCCAGAGGAGTTTCGGTGGGAAATCTTCCACTGCGAGGATTTCCAGCCATTTGGTGAATCCAGCGTTGCTGTGCTTGCTTTTCTGTGTCATTTGCATGGGAAATTTATCGTGATTCACCGACCGTAAACATTGTTTCACAGACATGATAGTGCCCCTAGTCATCGGTGGCAAAGTTCAATGCAGTGTTGCTTGGAAACACATTGGGCGACATTTGGCAAACACCAAGAGATACAAAGATTCATAAAAAATGGGGCCCCCAAGTTTGCTAGCCGCTAGACCACGCGAGTTCTCGCGCTGCGCGCGCTCGCGACGAGATTATAAATTCGCTTTCGCGAAGGCACTTTTGTCGCCTCGCTTCGCGAGGAAGGAGAGGACTGGTATACACGGCTTATTTAACGAGCTTCCAGAAAGAAGGCATGAACAATATCAGTTTTTTTTCCTACGTCTACACTCTCAAAATAAACAGTCAAATATTTTTATCTTGGTATCCACTAATGATTGTTTTTTTTTTTAAATTGCTCTGGCGGCTGGTGACAATGTCAGTCAGCAAAATGTTGCATACGTCTTAGAGTGTTCACAGTCCCCTATTTTTACGTTTGACACTCATCCACCGGGGTAGACTCTGTGTATTTGTAACCAAGATGGCCACCGTAAGGCAAGCGCTCTTACTCAAAAATAGGGGACTGTGAACAGTCTACTGATACTTCTCAGCTTAAAGCTTAATCCCAAAGGTCCTGTCTTCCTTCGAGAAACGAGAAGGAAAAATGAGAGAAGAGATAGGACCATGAGAACGGATTGGACCTCAAGAGACTGTGAAACAACCCTGTAAATAAAATGATGGCGAGGAACGCTTTTTCCCTTCAGTTTAGCTTTCTCTTATTCGCACCCTGTTACCAAGTAAGAGCTAAGAGAGCCTGTTTCCCGCGCAAGGGAATCTAAGACAGTCTTGGATTCTGGATTTCACTCGGTGGATTCCGGATTCCAGGTACTGGATTCCAGTCTTTGTCGGTGGAACTTGGATTCTGGATTCCAATCGTCAGTGGGATTGCGGATTCCTTGAGCTGTATTCCGGATTCCAAAGCCCAGGACTCTGAATTCTACAAGCAAAATTTTCCCCGATTTCGGAATCGTGGCGAATTCCCTTACATGGGTCGAGCCTAAATATCAACGTTCAAAGCCCGGGGAATTACAGTCCTGGGAAGTTTTGGTGGGGGTGTGCCCGCCCGGTTTTTCAAATCCTGACCCTATTTCAGACCAAAAATGCCATTATCCACACCCGTTTTCAGACCAGACCTCCAAAATCCATACCCGATTTCAGAAAAGGGAGAAATTATGTCATCACTACTTAGATTAGAGGGCAGACAAAAAAATTCTTCAAATCCGTTCAGAATTCGCATATTTCTTTTTCTTTCTTACTCATTTAGAATTGAAACGATAAATACGTTCATACACTCCGATCGCGTAGTTTCTCTCGCAAACCATACCCGATTCCAGACCAAAATGGGCAAAATCTGTACCTGTTTTCCGGCCAAAAACGCGCAAAAACCCTACCCGATGGGGCGGCACATACCTACATAGCTTTTATAGAGGTTCAAAGTTACCCTGTTAACCGCTTTTTTGTTGTTACACCTCGGTATAATGTTGAGTGATGAGTTGCAGGGTATCACGTATAAATCATACCGCAGTGCAGTCAAGCAATTAACTGACTTGCACGAGTTATCAATAACGGCATTACATTTTGACATATTTGAAATGATTGGGACTTAACAAACACTGAGTCGTATAAAGAGTAGATCGAAAAGAAGGGGGGAGGGGGGGGAGAGATCAGACCTCAAGCATCCAGTACCTTATATTTCTGGCCCCTACCCCCTTTTTTCTTAACTTCCTCTTTTAAGCCCTTCTTCGATAGCGATTGCGGATTTCCCACTATTTCTCCAACTTCCCACATTTGAAGAACTCCCACGGCACCTCCTGCTCATTTATCCCCCCGCCTCCCGTCCCCTATTCTCCCACACTCCCTTCCCCTGTCTTCCCTCACGGATAACCACCAAAGGGTATTGTTTAAAATTGTTTAATAACTGATTTATTTGCCTAAAAAAGATTCAACAACGGCTCCTTAGTTTACCTCTCACTCTCTCAAACGAAGGTATAAAGGTAATGTCTTCAGATCTAGTGCTCGTATTCAAAGTGTCCAAAATATTTATGCAGTGGTTTCAAAGCAAACTTGAATTGTTCTTTAGAGTACATGATCTCTTTATCTATCGAGAGTATCAAGTGGCGTCAACTGTCGAGTACCAACACTCAACAGTTTATTCATTCCAATCACATCGAAAATGACCACACCCATTTCAGTCTCAATTGCCATTAGCGGTGAAGGAAAACTAATCTCCCCCTGGAAGTCAGCCTCGCTATCCTGTGGAAATATAAGTTCTAAATTGAGTTGTGAAAGGGCCCAATAGTCTCTAAGCTCGTNGTAATGTCTTCAGATCTAGTGCTCGTATTCAAAGTGTCCAAAATATTTATGCAGTGGTTTCAAAGCAAACTTGAATTGTTCTTTAGAGTACATGATCTCTTTATCTATCGAGAGTATCAAGTGGCGTCAACTGTCGAGTACCAACACTCAACAGTTTATTCATTCCAATCACATCGAAAATGACCACACCCATTTCAGTCTCAATTGCCATTAGCGGTGAAGGAAAACTAATCTCCCCCTGGAAGTCAGCCTCGCTATCCTGTGGAAATATAAGTTCTAAATTGAGTTGTGAAAGGCCCCAATAGTCTCTAAGCTCGTATGCATCTTGAATGGACTCCGGAGATAATCTACTCTGAGGATTCAGTGTCTGTTTTTAAATTGAAAAGCTCAAGCAACGGAGACCAATTTAAACTCGGCAGTAGATTAATGGCTACGGATGCTGACTTTTAGTGCTGTTAACAGGTAACCTATAATTAGTGAGAAAATGATAATATTCGCCGATGAACACATGAGTTATTAGGATTACCCTGTATTTAATTCAGGAAAGAGGGAAAATTTAAAGTAAATTCAAATTCAAAGTGCCACTGAAATCTTCAATTTGTAGGTTGACAGAATTTAAAAAAATTACTAGATGACGAAAGAGTCACAAAGTGATTTTTTCACTTCTAAACTCACTACTTTATAATGATCTATAATTTACACTTCTTAACGACAAACAGCCACTTATATTTCTTTGTAAAGTTGCGGCCAAATTATGTGTTTATTTTTACGGGATTGATTTCCGAGCATTTCCTACCCTCGATGCCAGATGTCTTCTCTCTCGCCCGCGGCGAGGAGCGTAAAGAACGTAGAGAGCGAAATGCTGAACTGCTCCCGAAGAGAACAAAAAAATCTCTGGCACCCAGGGTAAGATTTTTCTTATAAATTTACGTGTTTAAAATAACGGTGTTTTTGTTCTCTTGCGTTTTTGTCATTGCTCCGCAAGTGCCGTCATCGTTTTGGTTATGAAATAGGGTCAAAAATATATATTTTCTTTATTTCCGCCGGCTAACCTGCAAGGTTATAAGTTTAGCTCAGTCGCGACCTTTCTATTTCAGTTTCTCCTGGTGATAAATGTTTTCTCCGATAAACTCCGGCTGCTTGATGATATTGCAAAAAAAAAAAACAGACCGTTTTGTTGCTAGTTCAATTGCGGCTAGTTCCATTAGTTCTTAAAAAAAGCCAAAGCCTTGCCATTTAATTCAGTTTGATTTTCAAACAGTCTGTCAAATCCTCGGCATTGCTACCTAATCTAAATCGTGCATATTACTACTCTAGAGAAGATTCAGGGATTTTCCTTATCTTTATGCTCGTGAGTGCATATCTAAAGGCTGACTCTGTTTATCAAAATCAAATAACTTGGAGATTATGATCGATTTGTTTTGGGTAATTAACATAACACTGCAAATATAAGGTCCATTGATTTTTGTTCTTTGTAGAAACAATTTTGTTGAACACTTGTATTATACTCAATCAGGTCGCAATCAAGTAAGGTGAGTTTAAAGCCCGCTGAGTCCTGGTGGCCCTGAGACAGTCACGATAAATATTGCATCAATTCGTCTACTTTTCAACTCACACAGGTGTAATATTCACCGCTTTCAAGTGCAATTATATTCAAAGGTCATAAATAATATGAAAGGTCTCAGTCCCCCCGCCTCCTGTCTACATCATATAACTCAGTCACACGCAATACCTTGTTGAATTGTTGGTATCCTTTTGGGGTCATTTTTGAGATGATCTCTAGCTATCTTTTCATTCTTTGAGTTTCTGTATGTAGTTAGATTTGGCGATAGGAAATAACAGAAAATTGTACTTACTTAAAAAACCCTAAGCCGTGATTTGACTTCATAATTTATCAAACTAAGAGCATATATGCATGCCGATGCCAAACACATGTCCTATTACAAATTTCCTCAAGTGGTCTTTCTTGCGCTGTATATGTAAGTAACACTCAAACAATTCTAAAGTAGGGTTCTTTGACAAGAAGGTCATTCAACCTTTGCGATCATTGACGATCAAACCATCGAAAATCTGGAATCACTTAATGCTTTGTTGTTCTTGTTATCAGTTTAATTACGAAAAAAGTTGTAGGACATTTCCCTTCGACGTTTAAAAATTCCAATTAGGTTATAATATCATATTCATTTGTCACTCAAAGAGATCTAGAAGCTTCTCCTTTCATCGGTTTTAAGTGAGTATGGCAAAAATATTCAAAAATACCGTGAACGTATCTAATAAATTCCTCAAGACCTGAATGATGTTTGTCTTTTTTGTTTAAAACCGTGAAACCAACAAATACAATTCTAAAATAAGCAAAATTAACAAAAAGGGGACCTCGATGTTTACCTTGCAGCCGACTACAAGGAAAAAAATTTTACCCCCCACCCCCCCAACTCTCCCCTTAATTCTTAGCGAGTAATTTTGTTTTTAAGGCTGATGGGATACAAAACATTGCAGAAAAAAACATTAATACGAAGAAAGAGAGGATAAAGCCTTTCATATTCTCTCATGGGGGAACTGCCTCCGGCAATTTCTTAGCTTATAAACAGCTCAGATATTTTTACAACTCGCAAAAAAATTACGTAATCATTATCGACCTTTAGTTGAATGGAGGCAAAGATTGAAGTCGCCGTAGTAATCCAAATGCCTTTTGGTACATACCGACAATACGTGTATTGTGTCTCAACAGAAAAGTACTCACTAATTGATCTCGGTTTCTAAACGACCTTCTGGTTACCTTAATTGATTAACGAAGAAGGATGGAATCGGTTTTTCCTTTTTCTTTTTCTTTCTTTCTTTCTTTCTTTCTTTCTTTCTTTCTTTCTTTTCTTCTTCTTCTTCCTCTTCTGCTGCTGCTTCTTCTTCTTCTTCTTCTTCTTCTTCTTCTTCTTCTTCTTCTTCTTCTTCTTCTTCTTCTTCTTCTTCTTCTTCTTCGTGTTTTTGCATTAAAACTCTTGTTTTTTTTCTCTCTTCGACAGGTTCCATCTATGGTGACCCTCACCCCCCTGCAGTCTAAGTTTACTTCAACACTTACATGTACCCATAAGTGCCGTTTCCAAAGAGCTTCCGAGAGTCTTCTGACCGTGTTGATATTTTTCATTGAGAGGTAAATTAGTACAGAAGGGTGGGGCACTTGTTAGAATCCGCGGGAAATGCTAAACTTTATAAAGGTGAATCGTTATTCTTACTGTCGAATTCTGAGAAATGTGGTCGGGCTCCTGCTGTGACGCGATTTTCTTCATTTTATTTGGAATTTTGAATCATTAAATTTGCTTCATCTGTTGCTCCGTTGGAATTTGTGTCAACGTGTAAGCAGTCGCTGGTTCAATTTTAATTACTTTCATTACATTACATATCTTTGGCAATCCAAGACAAAATCGTTTTAACAATTGTAGAAGTGAAAGCAACATATACTTAAATAATAACTATCACCTACACTGGAGCGCGAGCGTAGCAACAACAACAACAACATGGAACGGACAACAACAACTTTATTTACCCACGGTAAAAGAATCATCAGGCAGTATTAAAAAATAACTTATCTGAAAGCCAGTAGACATTTTAATAAGTTTGTATAATACGAAGTAAAACAAGTACCTGCTTTCTTTGAATGTTGTGCATACATGATTAATTATAGTCCAAAATTCTAAAATAATATCACCACAGCCAGAGTTCAAAGAGGAAAGACTTCACGCTAGTCGCATCTCAGCTCAACTGCTCAACCAAACCGAACCTCTATACAATGATAATAATGATAGTATAATAATAATAATAATAATAATAATAATAATAATAATAATAATAATAATAATAATTTGTATTTAAAGCAAAGTGTTAATGAAAGTTATCAAACCGAAAGAAATTATCCACCACCATAAACAACTATAAAAAAAATGATAGATGAAAATTTAAAAGGTTCGACAATTTCGTGAGCGACAAATTAAACATTCTTCATATTTCTACTGATATCTACATTACAAGATAATAAAAAATAATAATCACGATGAAAATCTTTATTTTTGGTTTCTTTGCATCTTGTTGTAATTAATCCGTTATAATGGCAGGCTTTGACAAGTAGATTAAAAAAGAAAAAAAAAGGAATAAAAAATGACTTAATTCTTGGTCGTAAAATTTAAAAAGTAGACCTGCAAGCAGTTATTCTAATGAATTATAAATTAGTGGTGAGCTAGAATTTTATGAAGACATATTAATGAATGGAAGAGTAATTCCGCCGTTATAATCTCTTATTTCCCCCTTATTCCTCATTATAATTGGTCAGGATAAACTCAATTTCTCATGTCACGTTGATAATTAGTTTTACATTTTATACTATTCTCTTGTTTCTCTTTTTGTCTTCCAGTGGCCATTTATTATTCATAGGCCCTGAGAAAATCTCATTGAAACTTTTTTTAATTTAGTTGTCTCACACGGAGAAATAACATTTAGTTTGAAACGAGCCATCAGCATGCCTGCTGATATCCAATGTTTAGTAATCTTCTAGACGCTTTTTATTCTTATATTTTGTTTTCGCTTTGGTAAATGCAGGTGTCATCAACCTCTTCCACAGTCTTAGACGAGGTTGTCTTGTCACAGACAAAAGGAGCGCTTTTGAACGACTGAGAATCAAGCAGCTGAAACTTGGCCATTGCCAGCACTGGGTGGTGAAACGTGAACACCTTCCTCGAGATTTTAGTGCTGAGGGTTTAAAGTAGACAAAGGGATATTTTTTGGGCACAAACTGATATGGAATCTAACGCGTCTTTGCCAAGCAACAGTTCTGTGTTTCCGCCACAAGGTGGGAATAACACTACAGAAGTATCTGATGGTGAATCGCCTGCCTTTAAAGCTATCAAGCTCACGCTCTACGCTGTAATCTTCCTCATTAGTGTCATCGGCAATTCGTTGGTTTGCGTGGTGATAACTAGGCGTCGGAGAATGAGAACTGTCACAAATCTGTTCGTCTTGAATCTAGCGATTTCCGATCTCGCCATCACTTGTATCTGTATCCCGTTCGATATTCCAGTGCAAGAGAACAATTACAAATGGCCTTATGGATGGTTTGCATGTAAGCTGATTTACCCTCTTCAAACAGTGGCTATGTTCGCTTCTATATTTACGCTGACGGCTGTGAGTCTCAATAGATTTTGGGCTATTGTGCACCCACTTAGCAAGCAAATGAGGAAAAAAGATGCCGCCGCAGTGATAGCGTTTATATGGGTCATCTGTGTTATTCTAAGTGTGCCTTATGTACTGGTTTTACGTCTCGACGAAGAAAGCATGGAATGCGTCGAGTCCTGGCCTGGGCAGAGCTATAGGAAAGCTTACACGGCGTCACTGTTTGCTTTACAGTACGTTTTGCCTTTAATCGTAATAACAATAGCATATCTCACAATTGGACTGGAATTGAGGCGTTGCGCAAACGTCAAGAACGCCTTGGCAGTTAATGCGGCGTTGTACCAGGCACATCGAAACGAGGCCAGAAAAGTTGTGCGCATGCTCATTGTAGTCACTCTTCTTTTCGCAATTTGCGTACTACCTAACAATGTCATGTGGCTTTGGCTTGATTTCGGTGATGGAGAAGCCTATCCTCACTTCTGGGACGTGGTAGCCTTCACTAACATCGTCTTATTTGCAAACAGTGCAGCTAATCCGATAGCGTACACAATTTGCCACGAGAACTTTAGAGAAGAGTTCAAGTTGTACGTTACCTGCGATCCAAAGATATTCCAAAGCATGGCAGAGAGCACAATATATTATACCAGAACACGATTAAAGAGCCTGACGTCGTCTGAACGGCTCGGTGCAAAAAGTCAAACTGTAGATTATGCTGAGATCTTTGTTATTGACGCTAAAGAGACCGTCATTTAATTGGACCGTACAATGTACTCGGCGTGTAGAGGCGTGGGCATTCTTAAAGGAGCGAAGTTACGATTTTTTGGTTTTAAAACCCTGAAAAAACATTGAAACCAAAGAAAAACCTTCTTATAAGTAATGGTTCCCAGCAATGGATCTAGGGGGAGGGTACAGGGAGTGCGTACCCCTCCCCCCCCCACCCCACTGAGAGGGATCCTGACAACTGGTATTCTGCAAAATATGCAGATATGTATGATATGTATTTTCAGCAGTTCACATGATTATGTTATTGCCTAGTTAATCAAAAGCCTTCTTCATCATATTCCCTTTTAAAATTTGTTTGCGTTAATGATCAGTCAGTCACTCCATTTCTTAGTGGTGCCAGAAGCCGAGGAGCCGAGTAATCGGCTCCTGGTAGTGCACACCCTCCTAAGAAAAATCCTGGATCCTCCCGTGGTTCCGTTTCATTTAAAATTACTCTGCTGCTATACATCAACTATAAGGGGAAAGAAAATCACTATCAGAGGAATATGTGTTTTTTTTTTTCAGCAGATTTACTTGAACAGATTCACCGCGATTGCCTCACAGTAATTTTTTTATGTTTTTCAAGAAAATAAAACGCCTAGTTTCGCCCTTACCTTGAGCCCCTGATGTAAGACATAAGTGTCTCAGATGCTAAATCAATATGTTGAAGTAAAGAGCTGCATAAGATATTGAAAGCGAAGCTGCTCAGTGACAAGGTTATAATTGCCTTTGAATCACAGTATACATTGTTGTGAAATATTCTGAAAGTTATTTTTAAGATCTGTCTCATCTTTTAAGTTTTGTTTTTGTTTCATTAAGTGAGTCAAGGTTACGGTTTGGACTTTGTACACTAGGTATTTTCCTGTTTTGATCTTTTGTTTTTACTTTTATTTAAATTTTTGCCCAGCTCGCGAATCGGCGCTTAATGCCATTTTAGATCAATATTTTTTCGCCTGTCATTGTCAGATGTGAGTTTTTCATAGGTGGTCGTGTTTGTGATGAGCTGAGCTTGGTTCATAAGTCTCGCTGAAGTTACTGTTTGGGTTTGTTAAACAGCGTTTTTAGTTTCTCATTGGTTTGTAGCGGCTTACCGATCGCAGTCCTGTAGGTTCAGTTAATATACCAAAACATTACCCACACGGTCAGCTAACCCAAACTTGTCCAGCTTTGGCCACAAAAACCGCCACTATTTGAATTTTTAGTTAATGGAAGTGAGTGGAGAGTTAGAGTTAAGAGTTAGTCGTGCTTGTAAGAGCTGTAGAAGTCAAGAAGAATAAAGATGTAAAAAGTAGACTCTCGGTACCTCTCGCTTAGCGAGTGAGTTGCTCCATCAAACAACGGTCCCACAACATGCACGGGCAATATCTTTTCTGCTTTACCGTGGCTTGGGGAAAAGCGGTCAATGACGTCAACAAGGAGGTGAAAATGCTATTTCTATGGTTTTCTTCTATTTCTGTCATACAGTTAAGCGACCGTGTCCATTAATGTATTTTTAACCTTCAGCAGAACGCAAAAGTTAATTTACACTGAAACTAAGCCGGGCTTAAGACAGACATTCGCAGTGTAAGAAGCACGCATATTTTAGGATCTCTCTTTTCGGGTGATAGTTCTCAACTATCCCGGCCCCACTCTTTCCTTATCCTCATGTCGGTTGTTTTCGCGCTCTTTCGTGTCCCTAATTTCTGACTGATTTCGGTAAACTTGCTTTTATACTTGTCGCCTCCTAGTTCTTTAAAGCGTGACATTTTATCATTTTAGAGGATTATTTCCAGTATTACACCATAATAAATAGGCTTAAATTAAACGTTTTTTTTTTTTTTTTCAGTAAAGTGTAAATAATTTTACCTGAGCGTGTAGAGGCGTGGGCATTCTTAAAGGAGCGAAGTTACGATTTTTTGGTTTTAAAACCCTGAAAAAACATTGAAACCAAAGAAAAACCTTCTTATAAGTAATGGTTCCCAGGAGTGGATCTAGGGGGAGGGTACAGGGGGTGCGTACTCCTCCCCCCCCACCCCATTGAGAGGGATCCTGACAACTGGTATTCTGCAAAATATGCAGATATGTTTGATATGTATTTTCAGTAGTTCATATCATGATATAGCCTAATCAAAAGCCTTCTTCATCATATTCCCTTTTAAAATTTGTTTGCGTTAATTACCAGTCAGTTACTCCATTCCTTAGTGGTGCCAGAAGCCGAGGAGCTGAGTAATCGGCTCCTGGTGGTGCACACCCTCCTAAGAAAAATCTTGGATTCTCCCGAGGTTCCGTTTCATTTAAAATTACTCTGCTGCTATACATCAACTATAAGGGAAAGGAAAATCACTATCAGAGGAATATGAGTGTTTTTTTCGGCTGATTTACTTATTAATAAAAGATTCACCGTGATTGCCTCACAATTTTTTTTATGTTTTTTAAGAAAATAAAACGCCTAGTTTCGCCTTTACCTTGAGCCCCTGATGTAAGACATAAGTATCTCAGATGCAGAATCAATATGTTGAAGAAAAGAGCTGCATAAGACATTGAAAGCGAAGCCACTCAGTGACACTAGGTTATAATTGCCTTTGAATCACTGTCAGTATATTGTTGTGAAATATTCTGAAAGTTATTTTTAAGATCTGTCTCATCTATTAAGTTTTGTTTTTGTTTCATTAAGTGGGTCAAGGTTACGGTTTGGATTTTGTTCACCAGGCATTTTCCTGTTTTCCTGTTTTGATGTTTTGTTTTTACTTTTACTTGAATTTTTGCTTAGCGAATTCGCTTAATGCCATTTTAGGTCAATATTTTTTCGCCTGTCATCTTCAGATGTGAGTTTTTCATAGGTGGTCGTGTTTGTGATGAGCTGAGCTCGGTTCAGAAGTCTCGTCGAAGTTACTGTTTGGGTTTGTTGACCAGCGTTTTTATTTTCTCATTGGTTTGTAGCTGCTTACCGATCGCAGTCCTGTAGGTTCAGTTAATAATTATACCAAAACATTACCCACACGGGCAGCTAACCCAACCTAGTCCAGCTTTGGCCACAAAAACCGCCACTGTTTGAATTTTTAGTTAATAGAAGTGAGTGGAGAGTTAGAGTTAAGAGTTAGTCGTGCTTGTAAGAGCTGTAGAAGTCAAGAAGAATAAAGATGTTTAAAAGTAGACTCTCGGTACCTCTCGCTTAGCGAGCGAGTTGCTCAAACAACGGTCCTACAACATGCACGGGCAATATCTTTTCTGCTTTACCGTGGCTTGGGGAAAAGCGGTCAATGACGTCAACAAGGTAGGTGAAAATGCGATTTCTTTGTTTTTTTTCTATTTCTGCCATACAATTAAGCGACCGTGTCCATTTATGTACCATTAACCTTCAGCAGAACGCAAAAATTAATTTACACTGAAACTAAGCCGGGCTTATGTAAAAGACAGACAGTCACAGTGTAAGAAGCGCGCATGTTTTAGGATCTCTCTTTTCGGGTGATAGTTCTCAACCATCCCCAACTCTTTCCGTACCCTGATGTCGGTTATTTTCGCGCTCTTTCGTGTCCCTAATTTCTGACTGATTTCCGCAAACTTGTCGCCTCCTAGTTCTTTAAAGCGTGACATTTTAACATTTTAGAGGATTATTTCCAGTATTACACCATAATAAATAGGCTTCAATCAAACCTTTTTTTTTTCAGTAAAGTGTAAATAATTTTACCTGGTGTTGTTTCTGTAGTCTTTCTACAAAGTCAGACCAAGAAAGAGTGAGAACTGGGTACGAGATTAACAGAGAGAAGGCCTGGGAACAAGTCAAAGAGTTCGCGTGACAAATTTGGAAAAAGCAGCTACTCTCCATTACAACAACATGGTGCGCTCATGGTTGATTCTTGCAAGCCATCTTATCGTTATCTTGCTCTTCTTTTGCCATACTAAGGGAGCCAACATCGTCCTTGCACCGCTGTTTGGAAGCAGTCATTACATCTTGTTCAGAACTATCGGAGAAGAACTGGGAAGTCGAGGACATCAGGTATAATATTGTTCCGATCCGTGACGGTTATGTTATGTTTTTACTCTGGTTTTTACTAGTTCATTTAATTTGTNCAGAGCAAGAAAGAGTGAGAACTGGGTACGAGATTAACAGAGAGAAGGCCTAGGGACGAGTCAAAGAGTTCGCGTGACAAATTTGGAAATAGCAGCTACTCTCCATTACAACAACATGGTGCGCTCATGGTTGATTTTTGCAAGCCATCTTACCGTTATCTTGCTCTTCTTTTGCCATACTAAGGGCGCTAACATCGTCCTTGCACCGCTGTTTGGAAGCAGTCATTACATCTTGTTCAGAACTATCGGAGAAGAACTGGGAAGTCGAGGACATCAGGTATAATATTGTTCCGATCCGTGACGGTTATGTTATGTTTTTACTCTGGTTTTTACTAGTTCATTTAATTTGTTACAGGTTGCATGCATGATCGACGTTGCAGACATAATATTGCAAATTTTTGCTTTTGCTGCCTCGTGTGCATTTACTCCGGCCTCTTAAATGGTCTCACCGTGCGCTTCAAGAAGAAAAGATATCTATGCATAGGCCAACTGTCAGCACCCCTAGTGCAGTGCGATCTTTAATTTACTTATGTGCAGAGTTGAAATTGTTAAAACACATCAAAATATAGAATGCCTCGTGGATAAAAAGAGGGAAAATGCAAAATGATAAATTCAAATTTCTTTCTGCTGCAGCAAGGAAGATTACGGTTCTTTCAGAGTTCAAATCAAACAGTTGACAGTGAGTATTCAGGAATCGCTTGCAAAACATGCAGATAATGCCTATCCGTTCTGAGTTCAAGAATCACTACTTGTATTTGGTGTTTTGCGAAACTCTTCCTTCGACCCATAACATATCTTATCAAGTGAAAATCACTGTGAAATAACTACAACCAGTATCAGTCATTTATATCCTCTTTTATCTTCTATAATTACGCCTAAATATATTGTCCTTAGGCCTGCTCGGAGTCCTGGTGGTGGTGACACCAATAACCGGTAATTTTTACAGAAACCAGAGTTAAACCGAAGTTATGCCATTCTTAAGTCTACTTCCTCAACGCAAGAAATCTCGTTCCCCTGGCTCATTACAGACAGCGTGAAGATTTGTTCGAAACAGAGCAGGAGGTTACTATAAACTTCCACCTGCCTGATTACTGATAAACCACAAATTTTGCATATCGTTTGTCACGCAACACAACGGAGCACGGAATGATCTTCCTCCACAGGCTTTCCTAAGGGTTCGTGAGGAGCATGGAACAAGCGAGAAGCGCGAGAGCTGGAGACAAGGGAGAAGCGCAAAGGGGGGATTGTGGCAACGAGCGTGCTTTTCTTGAATTAACATAAAACTCAAATATCCCACAAAAAGTGATTGTGAGCGATATGCGATGACATAGCGAAAGGATCATTTCCTTCCAACCTAAGCAGCGACAACCCCTCAATCAATCATTTCTTGCTGCCGTCAGTAGCAGCTAGCTCGTCAATTTATTAATTTTACTAGTTTTAGTATCATTACGATTGACATCATCATCATCATCATCATAACTTAATAATTATGCTACTACTACTACTACTACTACTACTACTACTACTACTACTACTACTACTACTACTACTACTACTACTACTACTACTACTACTACTACTACTACTACTACTACTACTACTACTACTACTACTACTACTACTACTACT